ATTAATTCTTAACTTAAAAGACTACTCTGGGCAGAATTGAATCCATTTCCCCTAAGAAACTGTGTTCAAATCATAACCCTCAATCTCAATGAATGTGATCCTATTCGGAAATGGGCCTTTGCAGAAGACAGTTAATATGAAGTTTACAGCTTCATGTTTGGCCTCACTCAAATGACTTTATGTCTTTAAAAGAAGAGAGAAATTTGGACACAAAAGATTGCCAGCAGTGAGTGGACAGAGGCACAGTTCCACACCATCACCCTCAGAAGACAGAAGAGTTCCTCTAATCTTTTAGGGACCTCAATTCAGGCCAAACTGAGATTCATGACTTTGACACGGAAAAAAAAAAAAAAAAACTTTAGGATTAACCAGTATGAAATAGAGTTGAGTTTTTATTTAAAAAAAATAGAAGAGAGATACTCAAGTAAAAGATAAAATCACATCTTAGAGATGGGGGTGTGTTTCTCAAAGGTAAGAGAAAGAGAGATGCCCAGAAAGAATAAAACCCAACCATCTGTAAGCCTCAGCTTCTCAAAGAAGAGTCTTGGTTTAGGAAAAAGCCTTTATGTAATGACACATAATGACAAAACTGGAGTCATCCATCTTCAATCTTAGAACATGAAAGATTGTGCAGAGAAGCTAGGAGACAGGCATGAACCAGTTCTCTCCCAGACAGAACTGAAGGATCTTTCCCATGACTTGATTTCAGACTTTGGTGTCTCAGACTGTGAGAAAATACAATTCTGTTATTTTAAGCCCCTTGAGTTATAGTACTTTGTCTCTGTCATGAGAAAAATCAATAAAAGTGTCAGTGTTCCTTAGTGCTATGGAAATATCAAAATTTAAGAATACCACATCTAATAGGTTTAGTATGGAGATATTTAACAGGAAAATGCATTGACAAAAATGTAATTTGTTTAATATTTAAAATGATGTGTGAAAAGTGAAAAGCAGAGATTTAGATATCTTCATACAGGTAGTAAAGGATAAAAGGAGAGCAAAAAAAGCCATTGCTAAGAGGAGATGTCTTCAAGAAACATCTATTTGAGTGTAAATTCTTAGATGCATTTCAAAAGTAAAGAAAAAAGATGAGAGGAGGCAGTGGAGGGTTGGGAGAATAAGTGTTTTAATGAAATAATGGTTTGTAGAAGGACAAATATGACCAAGATAATATAGCAGATAAAAGATACATGGAAGCGTTGAAATTCTTGAATGAGAGTTTTAAGTTTTCTCAAATAAAATGGAGACAAGAGCACCAATGAGCATAACAGAGAAGATGAAAAGGTAAGATTCAAGATAGATGCAAATTTTGGAACTAAGAGCTGATTGTAGGCACAGATAGAGAAGCTGCTTGGTAGAGAGCAAGAACGTTTAAGGAGCTCCTGTCTGCACAACTAAGTGGAGCTTCTCAATTGATAGACTGCCAACAATACTGGGTAGCATGACTCAAACTGTAGAAATGACTTGATATAATTGCAAAGCAATTCTGATGAAATATCAAAGAAAAGCATGTGTAAATCAGGAGTCAAAGTACTCTGTGATAAGGATGTGAAATAGATAAGAAAGAAAAAAATATCAAAATGGTGGGACTAAAACTGAACATACTGAGAGAGAAATATTCAAGACAACTGTCAGATAGAAGGTTATTGACAGAGGCATAAAACTGGAATTTAGACCAACTTTTCTTCCCAAAAAGCAATTCCTCCACTAGTCAGCAGAATTATCTGAAATAATCCTATTGTACTTGTTTGAGTGAGGCCTGTCTACTATAATAAAATTCTCATATGATATATATGACACTAAGTATCAATCCATTGAGATGGGAAAGAATAATTAATACATAATAAGTGTACATTCTCTTTTATATATTGTTAGCTAATAACTAGAGCATATTTCCATTGTACAGGCTAAGAAAAAATAAGGATATTGAATAAAATTGAGAAGAAATCTGATCTAAGTATAATACTTCACAGTAGAAGATATACTTATTGATCATTACCAATGAATAGTAAACATTCACATAAAAATGGTAAGTTGAAGTCTACTTATGTAATGAAACCAATTTAGTATTCTATTATATAAAATTTATTAATACTTCAAGCTGAGCTATCTACCCCCCGGCCATGTTTTACAGCATCCTCTTACTTTGCCATGGTATGAGGTACATACTTGCTACATGCTTATAGGCTTTAGGTCCTGAATCCTGATCTAATACTTTGTTTCCAGTGTTCTCTCATTTCCTGTGCATTTCATTCATTTACTTATTTATTTATGTGTAAGTGTTTTACCTGCATGTATGTAAGTGCACTTGTGTAGTGAGTGCCTTCAGAGGCCAGAAGATGGCATAAGATCCCCCAGACCTGGAGTTAGATGATTGTTAGCCACCACATGGTACAGTACTGTGAACCCAACTCTGATCCTTTGCAAGAACAGACAATGCTCTTAACCACTGTGCCATCTCTCCAACACACCCGCCTGTACCTTTCTATTCTGTCTTTCAAGGCTATGACTTTTGATATTCTTATGGTAAAGGAAAGAAAAATGAATAAGAAACAGGTGAGTGTACTCAGATGAGACAATTCAGAATCTGAAGATGTTTTCGGTGGAGTACTCTCCAAAATTCCTTAGTCCAGAAGTCATTCTTTGCTATTATGTCTCACAGCCTTACGTACACACACACACACACACACACACACACACACACGCTTCTGTCTCACTTTCAAGAACTTTGTTCCATCCTCACAAACCAAATTATTAACTTTAGAGAATTTTAAGACCAGCTTTTAACATCTTCCTATATTGGTAAACATTCCAATAGTTCTCTGTTTTCCCATTTCCATTCTTATACCTGTTTGGCAACAAAAATAGTGCTAGGCTACAGGCTTCATCACAGCTGACTGCTTTGATGCTACAAACCCAGTATCTGGCATAGCACAGGGAACAAAATGCACCGAATGTTATTGAATATGTTAAAGCTGTAATGAAATGCTTCTTCTAATCATGTGGTTCTTAAATTTAAAAAAAAAAAAAGGGTTTCATTAAAAAAAAAGGAAAAAAATAGACAATAAGTTAATACCAATCTTTCTTGTCTGCTGAGACAAGAGAGATTCTTGCTAGGAAAGGCAGGTCTAAGAAAGCAAACTATGATTTAAATCTCTCATTTCCCCAGGAAAAAAAAAAAGGAAAAATATTTAAACACCTCCCATCAATACTACTCAGGGTTTTGGTTTGGTTTGTTTTGTTTTGGTTTGGTTTGGTTTGGCCTCATCACATCTATTATTATAGAAGTCTGGTGCCAACAGAATTGCAGACCTATAGTATTCTGTAAGTTTTATAAGTTAAAAATGAAAAGTATAAAATGAAGGCATGTCTACAGAAGTAATTTTACACTTCTAAAATTTCTCCAAATATGTTTAACTATCTAGATGCCACATATCCCATTTCATCATCTTGAATAAGTGATGGATCATATTAAAGATTTTTTTTACTTAATTTCTTCTTGTATCATTCACTTTCATCATCCAAATTACATCTACACAGTGAATTGAAAGGAAAAAGTAATATATCATTTTAAATAAAATAGCTTAACTTGGAATCATTAAGCAAGAAGCACAGAATCCCCAATAACTTTATAATTTATTGCATATTTTGATGGCACTCTCTGGGAAGAGGTGAGAACACTTAATAACCAGCGTGTTCCTTGCCCACTTGCTTTGTCAACATGATGGCCATCAGATTTTTGCATATTAGTCTTTTAATTGTATCTCACCATCATTCATATGTCCAATGATGCAAAAATCACATTAAGGCTTTTGAAGAATGAATAAGACCGCAGAATGTCTGCAGGTCAGAAGCCACCTTCTCTTGATGTTACTTTAACTCATATCCATTTCACCTGAAAAATGTTCAGATGCAAAAGACTAACATTACTGATGCATTGTTGAAGGCAGACCAGCGAAACCCTCATACCCAGGACTAAATTACATGTTTTTCAATCGATACTTTCAAATAAGGAAATGGAGCTTCAAAAAGTTTAAGTATATGGGAGATAAAGAAAATGTTTAGCCCAAATCCCTGTATAGGGAGCTTTGGAACCGCCTGAAAAATTGCCTATAAGGTCCGTCTATGCGCAGACCCCTTTCTGAGGTTTCCATTCCACAAAGCACTCTTACCTGCTCCCAGCGACAGCCCAGAAGTCAAGTCTGCTGGGCTGCCTGGGAATAAAGTTCACCCTTTGAACACCAACCCGCACAGCTACCTGGAACCGCATAAGCATGTATCACATTCACATTGTTTAAAGGATGCCTTTGGTCTAGGACAAACAGATCTAAGCCTCATTGTTTCAAGAAACACTTAACATTTCTTAGGATTTCTAGTTTGCCATCTGGGTGTTGGGACAATCTGAAAAGAATCCTCCAGGAGGGGAAAATAAAATCTATTTGAGGGGAGTGAAAGCGGGCTGCACTGATTTCCAGGGACAAGGAAGAGAAAAGGAACCGGGTGGGTACTCAAACAAAGGGGGAGCAAGCAAATGAATCTCAGATGTGAAAATATAAACACAGGGGCAGAATGCTGAGTGAAATTCCAAGGCTGGTGATGCCTCAGAGCGCAGTTCCCTGTACCCATAGTCTCAGGACTACAACCCTGCACGCCTTTCTAAAAAATTTCCCTGGGATCTTGTCTTCATTTCACTGGTTCGTTTAGAAAAGTACATCTCACGGGAAAGCGCAAAATCCCAAAGTTAAAAAGAGAGAAAGCAACATTGGAAAGATTTTAATTCTAGCTGACAAAGTGCCGTCTTTCTTGTGCTCTCAGCTAGTGGCTGCCTGGCAAGGAGTGGCGAATGAATGGAACCCAAAGGGCGGGCTAGAGAAGAGCGCAATCCCAGCCCGCAAAGGGGTTCGTCAGCTCGGTGCCCCCACGTCACGGCGGAGGGGGACTCTGAGATTATAAAGCTCCTCTCCAGCGCAGCATCCTCAGTTCTCCTCAGGTGCCCGGTTCCTCCTCTCTAACCGGCCTGAGCAGGGCACAGTGAGCGGGGCACAGTCGAATTCTCTCCTGAGGACCACCTCTTTCCCACCTGGCAGAGGGGCAAACTCTTAGGACTAAGTGCAGCTCTTGCTCCGCGTCCCCTGCAGGCTCATAGCATCACTCCACCTGCAAAGCTGCTGTACCCTCCCCATCCGCTTCCAGGCGGGACCGAAGACCCCAGTTCCCAGGAGGCGGAGAACTGCCGGGGAGCTGGCGGGTGCTGGCAGCCAGAGTGGGGCAGATCTCGGGCTGCAGACGCCAGCCATGGCCTCTGTCCACTCAGAGAGCTGGACCGACGGCGTGGAGGGCTTAGGGACCGACGCTGGGAATCTGACCTCAGCTCTGGGGGTTGCTCCGGCAGCTGGCTCCAGTGAGGCTGAGTGGATGCTGGTCCAAGCCGGCAACTTATCCTCAGCTCTAGGGCTGCCAGTGACTTCCCCGGCGCCCCCCCTGCCCCGGGCCAACCTCACCAACCAGTTCGTGCAGCCGTCCTGGCGCATCGCGCTCTGGTCCCTGGCTTATGGTGTGGTGGTGGCTGTGGCGGTCTTTGGAAACCTCATCGTCATATGGATCATCCTGGCCCACAAGCGCATGAGGACTGTCACCAACTATTTCCTAGTGAACCTCGCTTTTTCCGACGCTTCCATGGCCGCCTTCAACACCTTGGTCAATTTCATCTATGCGCTTCACGGCGAGTGGTATTTCGGCGCCAATTACTGCCGCTTCCAGAACTTCTTTCCTATAACTGCGGTGTTTGCCAGCATCTACTCTATGACCGCCATTGCGGTGGACAGGTGAGAACTTGGGAGGAGACTGGGAGGAAGGATGGAGAGGGGAGGGAAAAAGGGTAAGCACTGGAGTAAGGCTGCAAAAGAAATAATGATCTAATGCACCTTTAGAAGTAAGGGACTAAGGAAGAGGAAAGTCTGAGGCTGAACTAGTTTCTGCTTCCATGAGCTCTCCCACTCCAGCCCTATCTCCCTCCACTTAGAAGGGCAGGAGGCAAATGAGTGATGGACAAACAGTTAGCATGGCTTTGAACGATTGAGCAGAATTTGTGTTCTCTGAAAAATGAATTTTTGGCCTTAATTTTCTCTTCTGGTCAGGAAGTGTACAGAGTCGGCCACCCTCCTTCCTGTCTCTCTGGGGTCCTGGTTTAGTCACTGTGGCTGCTCTCCAACCTTACCTGCTCAAACCAATTGCTAGCCTGGCCTTCCTGTCTTACAGTGTACAGCAAAGGCAGCAAGCTCTGCTGAAAGTCTGTTGTCAGTTTCCATTGTGTCTCTAGTTAGTTAGATTTAATTTCCAGTAATCCACGGAAGAGCTCTTTGCCTCAGAGTAGAATATGTGAAACATTAAGTTAAAAAAAATAGTGGTTGCGAAATGATATACACTATTTCACAGCTGTTTAAAATATACATATTTTTAGAATGTTCCTCCATCAAGGGTGGGAATTCTGAGATGTTTAAGTGATTAAAAGCTTATCGAACCTTTAACAGTTGTTTCTATGTTCAATTTTTAAAAACTGCTCCATGCATCTACTTGCTTGTATTGAGCATTATGAAATGTACACACTCACTAAAGCAATACTGCATCCTTGCCTGTTATTGAAAGCTGCTTGCATTTCACTTCAAAGTTATGATGAAAATGAAAGGTAAAGAGCCAGGTAATTCCATCTTCAGCTTTGTGATTGACACCTGCATGGACAGTGATGCCTCTTATCATTGACTGCATACTATGCATTGGACAGTTCTGAACTTGGTTTCTTATTTGATCCCTTTTTCATCACCAGTCACTCAGCAGAAGCTAGTTTAGTGCCTCAGGCTTTCCTTACATCTTTGAGGGGGTGAGCCAAGACAAGGGGCAAAGTTGAGGATTAGACCTTGATCATGTGGGAGCTGTTGCAAGTGTTTGCCAATAATAATCCAAAAGAAGATGGGGGTCAGGGTGCTCTGTGGTTCTAGATAGCTCAGCTAGACTGGAGAGAACCCCCAGATACCACCTCCATACATGGTACCCCTTATTTTTGTATTAACATACTTATAGTAAAATCGAATAGGACTAAATATTCTTTCTGCACATAAGCATACTCATGAAGAAATCCTTGTTATCTTGAAATATTGACCACAGACATTTGAATAACATAAAGCTATAAAACCATTTCACATGCCAAGCACATAGTGTTAAACAGAAGTAGCAATGGATGAATGTTTCTAGGATAAACAAATGCAAAAAAATACTTTTTACAAATCTCCAGAATTGTATCTTCCCTTTCCCATCTATTACAGATCTTCCACACACATATGCCCTTTCATTTCTGCCAGGGATAAATGGAAATGCAAAAACTGAACACAATCAACCCAAAGTTGGGGAAGGTAACGCTGCCTCTGATCCAGCTCCATTGAGTTAGATGTGAATGTTTCCTTTTGTTTGCACAGCAAACCTTTGTTTGGTTCCAGCTTCTTTTTCTCTTTTAAACAAATTTCTCATACATGAGTTTTTAATGTGATCAGGGAAGAGGTTTTAGCATATAAATGTCATAAAATAATCACAATCTTCTTGAAGTATCGATAAGGCAGTATAAATTTGATGGAATTTCTGGTGTGTGTAAAATAGGAACTGCAATTCTGAAGAGAACAGAGGTTATTTTTGCATTGCTAGTAGGCTAATATTTTTGAAATGGCATTGGTGTTACTTTACTTGGTAATGCAATTTAATTTCATTGCATTTAGTGATTTGAAATTAATATAATTTTACTATTTATTCTTTTTCATTTCTTTAATACAAAATATCTGACAAACTAAAAAATTTTATAGCAATATTTGCTATGAAATTGAAGCATACCCAATTCATGTATTCCAAGCCTCTTTCAAAACTGCTATTTAGAAGAATACTCATTTTTGAGCAGAAAGTTGATTTCAAAGTGACAGACATGGAAAAAATCCTGTCTGAGATAATACATAACAGTTATTAAAATTCTTCTTTGCCATGCTGTGGACCCCTTCTGCAACAGTGTCTTATCACAGATTGTGAACGTTGACCCTGTGGTGCCTGCAGGCATTTCATAAGTGAAACTTTGCAAGATTAACCCTTCTGAGGTTGAAAGACAGTCATGATATCTCAGGTTATGGCTGCATGTACTTACTGCTGCACATTGATAAGAATATTGCTAACTGCATTTGATCAAATAATTTAGATTTTGCTATATGATTTAAGCTTTATTGAAATAATCATAAAGATTAAATAATCCATAGTTGATTCTCATTAGTAAAAGACTGTATTGTCTAGGCATGTCCAACAAGTGACCTGTGGGCCTCATGCAGCCCAGGATAGCTATCTCTAGGCCACAACACATTTGTAGATGACAACCAATATCATATCATAATGTGATGAGGTAGAACACCCCTGGTTATAACATTAGTTATTTAATAGTAAATTGTTTTCCTTATCATTTAATATAAACTGAATTGTATGATCCCAGTCTGAATGTAAAATATAACCACTTAAATCCACTTGTCTAAAATCAAAAGGTCCCCTGGCCATGAGAAAAACAAAAATAAAAATAAACAGCTTTGATTTAGGCATGTGGCTTGCCTTCAACTGTGGCAAAATGCTTGAAAACCTCCTATGACTCTTAGAAAACTTGAACTTGAAAACAGAATGCTCCCTTAATGAGCACCTTGAGGTAATTGTCACATATTTGTTGTAATAAAAAGCACTGCAATTTATTTGAAAGTTTCAGCATCTGTTCTACACAAGTAGAATCACTTGTTCTCTGTGTTCATTTTGTAAATAACACCACAAAAGATTTGAATGTAAGATCACAGGTTGTGGTCTTCTACTGAAGTACAGTACCTACTGCTTTATTAAAAATTCAGAGAAGCCCGTTTTCTTAAGTAGAAAGCCACATCATCACCACCACTCTGATGCCCACCACCCCAAACTCAAAGTAGAATTGCTTACCACTAAGGTGTTGTCCTTTTCTTCGATATACTCCCAAACTTGCCATTCTGAAGTACAGCATTTGGTTATAACACTTACCTTTAACACTAAGCTTCCCCAAGATCATGCTGAAGAGCCAAGATTGAAACCACTTAAGTCAACTCTAGGGTTCCTCCTCCCCTGAACCTCTCTACTATCCTGTCTCCTAATTAATTGTGAAGACCAACTAATATGTATGTAACCCAAGTATGACTTTAACACTGTTAGAATATAATACTTGTTTATATAAGTAACTTATCACTTGACTATATGTAGCAAGTTCTTTGTTTTCTGAGTAGAAAATTATTAATACAAGAGTTGATGCAATGAAGTGATTTCTGTTCATTTAGTATATGTACCCCTTGATATACAGAGATACAAGCATGTTTTCAATGTATATTTTTCTACACTTTCTAAGCACATATTTTGAAATTAAGTTAGAAATTCTAAGACATTCTATTACTATAGTAAAGGGTAATTTTAGGATGCATGGTCTTGTTTGATGTGATTTTTTTTCAAAGAAATTTTTAAAATTCAATTCATTGTTTCTTCCTGATAAACCTTAAATGAGTAATAATTCATGTTTTGTGTTATAGTCCAAAAATATTACCATAGGTAGCAAAAGATACTTTACATTCTTTAAACCCAGAGACATACCAAAGTAAATAATTATTAAAAGGAATGTTTGAATGAACCAAGAAACTGAACTTAGTCAAAAAAGTAAAGAATGGCCTTCCATGTGGTTCTTTTTAAAAGTTTCTTTAGAAATTTTGTTTTACTTTAAGTTAGTTTATATAAATTATTTACAGAATGTTTAAAAAGGGTTTTAAGATGGGTTGGACAAAGAATAGTATTTACTAATGGATAATAATGAGATGCTGACCTAGAAGCTGATTTCTAAATGTGTTGTGATAAGTTTTACACTGTGAACATAAATAATATACATTTAGTGATTTGGCAAATTTTCTAGTAATTCTTTTATCTGTCTGATTTGAGTCCCCTGACCCAATCCTTTTCTTCTCTTGGGGAAAGTTATTGTCTGTGCACCTAATATTCCTTATTAATATTCCAGCTTTACTAGATACATTACTTAATCCACAATATAAACTTGATGGAGGTAACCTAAAATGAATTACTTTGCATGTTTGAATTGTTTACTAAACAGTAATTAAAGATCTATTTTGAGAAAGTAATTATGTAAATAGTAATTAAAGATCTATTTCAGGAAACAGCCCTTTGTCTCTTTTATAGTTCTTTTTCAATAATTAAAAATTTCCTTTTGTATCTAAGCAAAATTACTGATATATAATAGTTAACTGTGAAAGTTCTGTTACAATGCTAATTCTTTTTTTTAAAAAAAATATTTTTTTAATGGGGTCTCCCTAGCCCCGTCCTACCTGGGACTCACTGTGTAGAAATATTCCTGTCTCTGCCCCTCCAGGCTGGGATTAAAGGCATGTGCCACACACCCAGCTACTTTTTTTTTTTT